AACCCATTTCCGACCTCGAATCCTCATGTTCGAATCCTCAAAGGGTTTGCTTGTACCAACTCCGTCAAAAGATAGCCACCGTTTGCAGGACATCACCACTACGAAATTGGTGTGTGCCAGAGTTAACCAGAGTGTTCTAAACCCATTTACCACCCAGACAATGTTCGAATCCCGATAATCGCCTCTTGAGACAAGCATGGGTTGCTGAAGACCAATTCTAACCCTCATCTTCAATGGTAGTATACATACTGCAAAAGACACTTGACGGTCAAAGGGAAATAATCCTGAGTTTTCTGAGCGATGTTTTCGGTATTTTGTCAATATTACCACCAGGCGGTGTTACTTTTAGCATGCAACCAAAAACAAAAGATGAGGTACATATGGCACACTAACTTCATGTCAACTTTCAATAGTTTCTGTGGAGAACCTTACAAGATGTGATCTTTATATAAAGGAAAAATTCGGTGAAAGAAATCGTCAAAATCAAACAGAGCCGTCACTAAGACAGATATCCAAAAACGGCTAACAGAGTTTGGTGTGTTATGTGTGGAGACAATTCTCAGAAAGTTTGAAAGCATTTCATGCAGTGGATTCAGAGGAGATAGTATTTGAAGACTGGTACCCAAAAAACCCTGTGAAAACCTTGAATCCAATATGGCCGCAACTAAAAAAGATATCCAAAATCGGCTAACAGAGTTTGGTGTGTTATGTGTGGAGACAATTCTCAGAAAGTTTGAAAGCATTTCATTCAGTGGATTCAGAGGAGATAGGATTTGAAGACAGGTACCCCCAAAACCCTGTAAAAACTTTGAATCCAATATGGCTGCCAAACCACGTGACCAATGACCAAGATCAAAGAACAGAAAATGTTAAGCACCCGAAGCAGCAGACGTGTAAAGTTTGAAAGTAATCGGACGAGCGGTTGCGGAGCAATAAGGCGAAATATATCTTCAAAAAATACTTGTTTTTCAGTTATCTGCCCTTGGCCATTGGGCCTACGGCCTTGGAATTTTTGTGGTATCTGGTACCTAAGAACTTGCACATACACACAAAATTTGAACAAAATCGAGCCAGTGGTTAAACTGCTATCTCTGGAACAAAAAACGGCGGAATAATAAATAATAATAATAAATAATAATAAATCGAACGATTACAATAGGGCTCTACAGCCTTTCGGCTTGGAGCCCTAATAAATTGAACGATTACAGTAGGTCTCTTGCCTTTCAGGCATAGAGCCCTAATAAATTGAACTATTACAATAGAGCTGTTGCCTTTCAGGCATAGAGTCCAATAAATAATAAATAAATTGGCCGATTACAATAGGGATTCAAGCTTTTCGGCTTGGAGCCCTAATAAAGAATAATAAACAGAACGATTACTATAGGGCTCTTGCCTATTTTAGGCAGGGAGGCCTGATAATAAAGAATAATGAATAGAACAACTACAATAGGGCTCTTGTCTTTCAGGCATGGAGCCCTAATAAACAGAACAATTACAATAGGGCTCGACAGCCTTTCAGGCTTGGAGCCCAAATAATAAACAGAACAATTACAATAGGGCTCTACAGCCTTTTAGGTTTGGATCCTGAATAATAAACAGAACAATTACAATAGGGCTCTACAGCCTTTCAGGTTTGGATCCCGAGTAATAAACAGAACAATTGAAATAGGGCTCTACAGCCTTTCAGGCTTAGAGCCTGAATAATAAACAGAACAATTACAATAGGGCTCTGCAGCCTTTCAGGTTTGGATCCTGAATAATAAACAGAACAATTACAATAGGGCTGTACAGCCTTTCAAGTTTCGATTCCGAGTAATAAACAGAACAATTGAAATAGGGCTCTACAGCCTTTCAGGCATAGAGCCTGAATAATAAACAGAACAATTACAATAGGGCTCTGCAGCCTTTCAGGTTTGGATCCTGAATAATAAACAGAACAATTACAATAGGGCTCTACAGCCTTTCAGGTTTGGATCCCGAGTAATATAAAGAACAATTACAATAGGGCTCTACAGCCAATTGAGTAAAGTGAAGGTGTGGTTATTTGGCTGGGTGTTGTAATAAGGAACTGATTATTGTGACACTAACAATAAGGAAATTAAGATGTCCATTTGTGGTTGATGATATGATTAAAGCTCAGTGGAGTATGCGCTGGGTAGGTAGGATAGCTGACTGTCAACAGACTACCGCAGACAGAAAAAAACCAGTAGATCTTATTGAAATTAAGGGCGATGATGTTGTGTCAGGATAAATGCATTTGATATTTCTTTGGCGAATTTTGTAACCAACATCGCGCCAAATACTCAGAAAACCTGCATCGGAACGAAGCCCGACAACTGGTCGGATTGAACACGTCGTCAACTGGTCAAGCTACCGATTGTGAAATTTCAATATCTGTTTGCGTTTAGCTGAGATGATCTTTGAACGAAAGTTATATGGGTAGATTGTGCTGGGTTTATTTTTGGAGGAGGAAAATGCAAACTGAAATTAAGCAAGTTGTACGTATAAGAAACTTATTGATTATTTATTGTTTCAAAATATTTGGTTTTCTTTGTAACATTATTAAAAATAAAAGTTGGAAATTATCTTATCTTCACTATCTTAAAAATCTCCCCCTTTGGAGGCAAATCTCCCCCATTTTGAAGTCAAATCACCCACATTGTCATGATGAGGGGTTGACAGGTCTGCTGACAGTGAAGAGGATTTCTGTTGAAAATCTGAAGATTTTATAGTGTAATGTCATCCACAGTTCAGGATTTATGGCTATGATGTATTAGAGGTGGTATGTTTCTGCTGTTTTAGATGCTTGACATTTTATGTTCTTTCATTTTGGTCATTGGTAACATGGTTTGGCAGCCATATTGGATTCAAGATTTTCACCTTAGAGTGCATCTATTATTATTTTTCGGTAAATGATCCAAAATCCTACCTCTCTGAGCCCTTATGCAATGCTTCCAAACATTCTAAGGATTGTTTCAATACTTAAAACATAAAATTATTTTTGCAGGTTTTCTGATATCATTTTTGCTTGTGGCCGTATTAGATTTAATTCTTATTGATTTGTTGCTTTAAAGTTGTAAGGTTCTTCACAGAAACTTCCAAAAGTTGGCGTGAAGCTCTGATGCCATATGTTTCATATTTTGTGTTCTTGATTGCATGTCAAAGTGATTTGGTGTGGAAGCTATATTAGATTAAAACACCCTACTCCTCTGAACCCTACCAATTGAAATGCTTACAAACTTTTTGAGAAGTATCTCCATACTTAATGCATCAAACCATACAAATGCTGTGTCCCAATATCCCCTTTGGTTGCAGCCATATATATGGGATTCTACTTCTGCATTTTTAGCTCTCATAATATTTATTTTTTAAACTATTTCTTTAAAATTCTGTGAAGAAACCATTAAAAGTCGGAATTATGTATCTTTTGTTTTTTTATGCATTCCAAAAGTGATGCCACTTACCAGTTGTGTTATAAATGCTGAGTGTTGGACAGGAGCAAATTTATTTAGCAGCATGTGCAGCATACACACATTGCCAGCATGAACTGAAAGAAATATATGTGTACAGATGTTATATTTAAAGCACTATTTGCCAGGGTCACAGCTAAATGTATCCACTCACTGTAACCTTGACTTTCAGTTCCTACACGGATTGTAACTATTTGATCAGAAATCAATGATGAGGTTTATTGCAAAGAAAATAGACATTTCTTGATAAGTGCATTGTGCTATATTTGTCATTACTGTAAGTATTATTCCTTATCGTGATAGCGTGTTTTCATTTTATGAGTATTAGTACATATGCAGCTATCTTTGTTATTTCATAATTGTATTTCAAGTTGTGAGGACTATATTTTCCTGTATTTATTGTTTTCAAGCACTAGAATACCTGGGGTAATCATTTTTACCATGCATTTTTACTTGGATCATGTATTTGGTGATCCAACTTGCATCAAGTTATACATGAACATCATCATAATACTGTGGTCGACCGGGGGTTATTGTGGGTAAATATATATATTTAAGAACGTAGTGGGTGGGTTAGTTTAAGGGGGAGTTGAACGGCTGACGTAGTACCTATCTTTGTAGTCCTTGTGTGGAAGCTTATGCCCATGCGGGCGTAGTGGCTGGGAAGACGTGACGATGCCACGCTTCTTGCATGCTCGGCTAGGTGGAAGCCATGGTTTGGAGAGCCGAGATGTAAGGAGCGTGTTCATTGGTTGTGTCCGTTTTCCTTGTCACATGGTCTGCGTGTTGGCTTTATAAGCCTACCCTGGGTAGGGAATTGTCAGTCGTCACTCACCAGTATCTGGTAAGCACGGTCAACTCCTGCGTCCTGAACCAGGATCATTCATTATTATTTTAGGGCTTTTGTCGAGGTATTAGATCAAGATGTATGGGTGGGGGAAAAGTAGAGTAGGTATTGAATAGGTTTGTTTTATAGATGTTCTACTTTTGGGAGTTAAGTTAGAGGGGTGGTGAAGAATACAAGTTTTAGTTATAAGGTTGAATAGGTTTACGTAGGTAGGGAAGAGGGAAAATTACGTAGGTAATAGATAAGAGAAGGATTTTGCCCCTGTTGTTTTTTTTCCTGTTAAATAAACTTTAAATCCAACGTCATTCTTTATGTTTTGTTTATGATTAGAATTGGTAAGCCGTTCAGGAGCCTCCTAGAACGTAGAGACAAAAGAATACTGCACAGGGAGAAGAGAACACAACGCAAAACACAGCAGTATAACATCTGACCTTTTGTCAACTATCTCTATAAGTCTACTTTCACTGGGCACCTTTTACAGGCTTTAGAGGGCACCTATTACAATACAGATGCTTAGATGTTGCTTGAGTTTTATGCTCTGTTGTTTCTGTTTTGGAATTATGAGATCACAGTTTTAATCAGAAATTGATACAGTGTTATCTGGGATGATAACTTATACTTCTCATTCTAAATGGAATATTGAGTCAAATATTGACTCATTACTGCACTGCTGTTGTCTTCAGGTTGGTGCCAAGGCCCCTCAAGCAGCAGGCAAGATCCACACTGACTTTGAGAAAGGGTTTATCATGGCTGAGGTGATGGCGTTTGAAGACTTCAAAGAAAATGGCACAGAGGTGGCATGCAAGGTGAGTCAAGGACTACACCCACACAGATGCTTATAGATTTTTAGCTCATACAAACATTCATGGAAACTTAAGGTAAGGCATGTCTGTTGATTGCTGTTATGTATTTGACATATCTGAAACCTCAAGGCCTAATAAAGTTGTTGCGGAAAATTTTCATAGCTTTGATTCCGTTCCATACATGGCTAACATGGCAACCTTATTAGCAGCGTCTTGAAAAGGACTGCCGCCATCTGCATGGAGAGCAGATGGGTCTTAAGTGGTGGGCATGCCTGGAAAAAACATCCTGAAACATCATCTATTTATGGACACTGAGGGTGCATCCCCCATCGGAAAAACATTACCAGCTGATCCCCGTGTTCATGTAATACTGGAAATACTGGCCAACCTTTAGAATACAGTACCACAAACTTTTTAAACACATGACAATACCCTATGATGTAATTTGTAGTATTTTGTTGCCAGTCACAATGCCCTGTGAAGTCTGGGGTCATCGACTGTGCATAAGCTCCTCACAGTGATCTATCATCTCTACACAAAATGTCACTGAATACGCCAAGCAGTGTGGAGAGTTTTGAATATTTGTTTACTAAATATAGCCTGCGTAGCGCATTTTATAGCAAGCGTTAGTTTACGAAAGAACCTTTATTTTTTATATATTTTTTATTTTGTTTTTCTCGTAATTCAAGTGGCTAAAATGGTTATAAATGGGAACTAATATACATATATTATATTTTCAGTTCATTAATTTTCATTATTATGCACAAGAATGCAGTTTATTAGGGATGTTATATTGGCACTGAACACATCCAAATATTGCTAGTGTTAGGGTAGGTTACCCTGAACTCTATTCTTAGCCCTTTGATCCCCTTTACGATCAATCACCCCTTTCCTATCATTAGGGTTAGGTACCCGTTTAGTGGTTATTAGATTACCCGAACTCTGTCCTTAGCCCTTGGATCCCCTTTACGATCAATCATCCCTTTATGATTATTAGGGTTAGGTAAATCTACCCGTTTAGTGGCTATTATAGATTCTATAGCGGCTCCTGATATTCTTCACACAAAAACGTTGAGTAAAAAGGATGAAAGGGTTTTGTGTCAAATACTTTGGCTTCTGGAAACTGTCCTGGAACATTCACACAAGCCACCTTCACCGGCTACATTTTTTCAGTACTGATTCAAAAGCGAACTCACCGTTGTGTCGTCACTCATGCACATGCCTCCCTCGTTCCTTACTATTATCCACATCATCCTTACAGTGTTCCCTACCACACTTTTCTGTTAAATACCATGTCATTCATGTGTACTCGTGAGTTCGACGTCTGACGTCTGATGCCTGGAGCCGTTTTCAGTTCGCACCATATCGGATCATTCCTCGCCACTCGGTATCTTGTAGATTACGGAATGGGACGAGTGTGCTAAATGGCATCGGGATCAATCGCAAGTGTCCATCACCTATTCGACCCTTTTTGTTCCGTTCCGTAACGTCGTAGGCATGACTAGGTAAATTTGCACTTTGTTTCACAGTGTGGACGTAGCTCAGTCGGTTAGCTGTCAGGCTGACAATTCGAAGGTCGCGAGTTCGCGTCCGACGGATTCTCACAAAAACTGGCTGCTTGTCTTTAAGACATTTGACCTACGGCAGAGACCGTCCTCACGAGAAGATGTGGTACCGTATTCTAAAGATGCTCCGAAATACTATGCAACAAGTCGGAACCGAAGTATGCAATATAATCTTATTATTATACTATCTGTATATAAAACGTGTTCATTGTATATCTGAAATATGTTTTATTCAACATTTCATTCAATATTGTTTACATTAAATTTGGCAAAATTGTGTGTGAAATGAAAGGTAGATCGCACAACTCACCATTATTTACATCAACCATGGTCAGATTACAGCTATTGATGCCTTGAAACAGAGAATGGATAAATATATCATAAATGCCATACTTTGACTTGTTAAAAGTCATATTTGAGGCAGTTTGACTATTTTATGTCACCATAACTTTTTCGCAATCAAAAAATACATGAAGCGCAGGAAGTCCCTACGCTGATTGGTAAAATTGTTCGATACACAAGAAGTATCCTGCAATAGCAATCAGCTGTACCAAAGTGCTCTGCCTATGGTTCTTTAATTTTAAACATATATAGTGAAGCCTGCAAATAAAATAGCATGATAATGGAATAGATTATTCCTGATTAAAGAATAATTTCAAAAACAATTTCTTCCGACCAGTGCTTCAAAATTCTTTGAAGTTGTATCATTGGGTACTTTTAACTGAATCACCGGTAGATAGGGAGAAAACTTGTGTACAGCTGATTGCTATTTCCAGCTGAGTTTACGAGAAAATACACATGGGTTAACCTCTGCATATAAAACAATGCCTTGGAGACAATGGAGAGCAGGAAATACAATTTATATGGTAAATCATCATGTGTAGTGATGTTTTATATCAAATTTTCTTATTTTTATTGACCAAATTTGTTTTACTTGTTTGTTCACCTGAATTTGCCGAAGGGATGTGTTTTTTCACTGCACATGATACTCAATAAATCTTTTTTTGCACAATGAACTACGATTCTAATCTTTTTCCTAACTCTGAAACATGCGGCGTAGATTGTGCGAGGTAGGCAGAGCATGTTCTGTTGTGGGGGATAGATGACGAACACAACTCCAGCTTGGTTAAACGGCTGATTGTCTATAACATTTACAAATTATTTGGACCCCAAGTGTAGCGTTGTAGCATGGGATCACTGTTATGTATAACTATACCTATGCTGGCACACTTTTCTATTCATCTCCAACAGGATAAGAAGTTCAGTTACTGTACCATCAAGTGACACAGATCTGCTCTTACCTCAGTGCTTCAACATTATTAATCGTTCTGTCTTGGAAGATGTTAAGACACTTCCATAATGGAACCTAGGTGTGTGATTTGCTCTTTCTGGGGTACCATATGAACCTTTGACACATGCTCCTTTGCTACAAGGGTCCAGGAAGAAAGCATTTTTTTTACTAGCTGCAGCAGCCATGATCTCACTCATTTAAAAGACTAGACATCCATAACAGTTTAAACTCTACCTGAGTTTGTGGCAAAAAATCAATCCACAACTTTGGGATGGTTGGGACAGAGGCATTATGCAATCCCTGCACTTAGCAAACACTTGGAACTACCAGATTGTCATCTTTGTCCTGTTCATGGACTTGGATTTAATGTGGCAGCAACACAAAGACGTAAGAGACATAGAAAATGTTTTTTCCATATCTTATAAGACTTTCAGGCAGTTATTAGCATGAGGTATTATTATTTTGTGTATCCCCAAAAAGCTGAATTTGAGAGGGAATAATACTGGAATTGGGGTTAACTATTACAAATTATTTGGACCCCAAGTGTAGCGTTGTAGCATGGGATCACTGTTATGTATAACTATACCTATGCTGGCACACTTTTCTATCCATTCACTATTATTAGTCTGTTAACTATCCAGGGTATTACTAGATGTGAGAACCCACCAGTGCCACTTGTATATTCTGCCAATGTTGTAAAAGAGGTTATGTATTTGCAACAATTATGAAACAATAGTCATCATTGTATTATTAATAATTCAAAGAATACTACCTATTACATCAGGAGTAATCATACCCACCTCTCAAATTTAAGAATTTAAGTGATAGATTTGGAAAGAAGTTAAGATTTCACGCCTTACACATGCAAGATACTGTAACTTGCACAAAAAATTATAAGGGGTAGTTGACAGTGAAGAGGACTTCTGTTGAAATTCTGATGATAACCAAACCGCAGGATTTATGGGGGTGACTTAATAAAGGTAGCATTTTTTTAATTATTATTTTGTATTGAAATATTTTTTATGCCTACTGCCCAACTAAATGTAGGTCAATGAAACTTGGTAATGTCATCCTCAGGGTTGGGCCCAGATCACAAATGGTTGTGAGTGACCTATGTGAAAGGTCAAGATCACAGTGCAGGCCATTGGTAAATTGTATTTACCATTTTCAATTAAATGCCTTTTTCTGCATATATTTCTTTAGGTCTTATGCCTTTAGTTGTTGTGTCATTTGAATATTTATGTATGTCAAGTAACCTACTTTCAGTGAGTAGCATATGCCACTTTTAGCTCATCTGACTGAAAGTCAAGTGAGCTAATGTTGTGTCCGGTGTAAATGTCTACTCCACAGAAGCCAATGGACCAATGAAAAACTTAACATACTTGTTCCACCATTGGAGCTCGAGACACCCCATGTCCTTCAGTACTGATAGTAGAGGAGCTCAACACATATATTACATTTTAATAACCCCGTTTACGAAGTAAATCTGGGGTATATAGCGTTCCGTCTGTCCGTCCATCCGTCCGAGCTTTTGTACGGCCCATAACTTATTAACCATGCACCCTAGCTTCACCAAACTTCCTACACACATTAACCACAATGAGTACTTGTACCTTTTGCTAGTTTAAAGATTCTGATTTTTAAAATTTTTGCCGTTTCCATGGACACATTAAGAAACTTAAACTTTTAGGGTGGGTGTTTTGTGCGGCCCATATTTTTTAACTATGCATCCTTGCTTCACCAAACGTGCTACACCCATTTACCACAATGAGTTCTTGTGCCTTTTGCTAGTTTGAAGATTCTGATTTTTTTGATTTTTTGCCGTTTCCATGGAATCATGGTGAAACATAAATTTTGGGTAGTGTTTTTGTACGATCCATGTTTACAATATTATGTATCCTAGCTTCAACAAACTTGCTACATTAACCACTATGATTGTTTTTTATCTTTTATAAGATTCTGAAAGTTTTCTCTTTTGCAGTTTTCATGGAAACATGATTTTGATGTTTTGAAATTTTGATGACTGGTTTTGTATAGCTAATATATTTTCCAAAATTGTTTCCGTACATGTAGATCATCATAAGTATCTGTGCTTTGTGTTAGTTTGAAGTTACTATTTACTATTATTGTTGACCAGCAGGGATAAC